GCTCTAACCTGTACCCTATTCCAACCCCACCCACTAGCTGCCAGTTATGCCATTGATCAAGGCTCTTCAAAGATCTGGGACATTCCTGAGGCGATGTACTATCTTGGTAAGAAAGAAAAACAGCTGCTAACTATGTGAAAGGATCTCCCTTCCAGCCTCCTCCCCCTCTTTGGGGATAGTCTGTTTCCTCTCTCTCTCATGTGTTTATCACCCCAGTTGCTAAGCAACCAACTCACTGTCTATGTGACTGACTTCAGGTAAGAGGAAGCAGATCTAGCCTCATGACCTGGGGACAGGGGCTTGAGCCTAGGTCAAGGTGTGATACTTTTTGAATTGGTTGGTCAGCATAAAACACCACATGGGCTTGACTGGAACCAGCAGGTTAGGTCAGAAGGGCTATTTAAGAGGTCCCCTCCAGGAAGAGGTGGCAGACATTTTAAAGACACATACTAAGCAACATGGACTTCAGAGGCCTTCTTTCATACTCAGGATCCAGAACCGAGTAATATACCAGAAACCTAACTAGGAACTTAGCTGACTACTCTAGTCATGTGGTAAAAAGGCAGACAAGCCACTCAGATTTGGTCAAGCCATTTTTTTCCCCCCTATATTTTGCTATTGGTATTCCTTCTCCTCCCCATCCCTCTTTGATCAAAAAAACTGTTTTAGCATGCCTCGCTGTATGGGCTTAAGAGGGAAGAGAACCGCTAAGGTGGGCTCAGCTATTTTACTCTCCTTCCGCATGGGAGGCTGATGGTGAATACTTCCTGCTAATAGAAGCACCCCAAAATCCTAAGGCCTGTGTACCCTGGGGGGCACAGGGCCCAAGCAACAACCAGAACCCGGGTGGTGGCAGCGACTACCCTAGTCTTATGGGTGTGCCACAGGAAGGGGGTCAGCCAGTTGTAGGCACCCCAGGGGAGACACTCGGAGCTTGGAAGGTGGTCGAGCACAGTAAGGCGCGTGGCTCAGCACAGAAGTGCCCCCTACTGGCCCACCACAAACTGCACCTCTTTTTTGGCAGCCTAGCTATATAAAACCACATTGTAAATACTGACAAAACAGCAAACCCAGAAGCAGCAATGGGAACTGACAAATGCTGATGTCTTCGTATTGCCAGCTGTAACAGGCATATAAGAAGATAATTTTCTAGTGTGAAAAAACTTATGGCAACTCCATGATGCTAAACACATTGCATACGTGTACCAAAGACAGGCCCCTGTGCTCAGAGCTTACTACCAGAGGCTTACATTTTCGTGTTTATGTTCATTTTTTTTAAAACACTATTTAGACACTGTGCCAAAGTGAGCTGCATTTCCTGCAGAGAGTTCTCATAATTTACTATAGATGAGTGAACAATATTCTACCTAAAAAAAATGAACAACAGGATACACAAATCACAGTGATAGATGTGCACAAAGTGCAGCAAGTTAGAGTAAGCTTCTGGAAGGGATGGAACCTGTAAAAACCACTTCCTGCAACAACAAGAACTTATAACTGTTAGGGCATGAATGAACAAACAGATGAAGCAGTTTCAAATGGAGAACGTTGCTGCTACTCCAAACAGCCTGGCAACGTTGTACAGTAAGATTTACATGTACAGGAGCCAGCAGTGATAAAAATGTAACAAAAATCGCCCCAATTTTAATTCAACTACCTACAAAGTTAAAGCTGGGGAAATCTAACTCTGCTTCTTCCAAGGTTAAAGCTGGGCAATTTAGCTCACTTTATAATCACTACAGGCTCAAACATACATGCTAATTAGAACATTAATAGCTGCTGCAGGTTCTTAAGTAGTAGGTCCCTCTTCCCTTTTGAAGTCTCTCCAAGTGTATGCGTGTCCATGCCCTAACACTTTTTTCAAAAGGTGGCCTAAAACTCAAGCTGAAACTACCGTCTATATAGAATTGTTTTTTTCAAAAAGTAATCTTTAGTAAACTGCTCAAAATGGTAACTTTTATATGAATTACAATTATAGTCTTTTGACCTTATGTAATTTTCGATCTCCTTTTTCAGCTGCATCCTCCATTTCAGAGCAGGGGTAAAAGCCAGGAAATGGTGCAAAAGGATTAGTTTTTGGCCTGCAGGAGCCTGAGAAAGCACCCATCAAACTACTAATGCTTCGAAGAGAAGAAGTCACTTGTGGGGGAAGAGATGGATCAATCAGAAGGTCTGACACCATGTTCCGAGCTTCATTAAGTACTGAAAGATCAACACCATTTCCACTGCTGACATTCTAGAACAGACAAAAATATTGTAATGATCAATTATTCTTTTTTTCCCCCCCTTCATTTTTCTTATATTTGGTATACAACAAAGAAACAAAAATGTGCCATGTAACATATATATAACTTATACTGCTATATAACTTATATTAGCCACATAAAAATGCGAAGAAAAGGCTGAACATATGAAAACATCCAACATAATGGCAGCTTTTCAGACAAAAACATTTCATTATAAAAATCAGGCAAAAACAATTTTTATTGGGGAAAAAAAAGTCACTTTAGTAGTACTATACAAATTATTCAGATTTCAGAATTTTTATATTTAGCCCTTTCCCTGGCCAACAGAAAAAAAAATGGCTATATCTGCAATTTCTGCCCAAGTAGGAAGATATATTTCAGAACACTTTAAACTTTTTTTCATTCTCTTCTTGAACACAAAATTCTGGGATCAGTTCTTTCCTTATTTCAGCCTGTGCCTCATTTCTAGTACTATATCCTATGTATATTGTCTATCCAAAGACTGTATCCTAGAGACTATATTCTAAGATTTATCAGTTAGATTTTTTACTATTATTTTACCAAAATTAATTTAATTCTATACTGGTACATTTTACTACTAGTGAATATCAAGCTACCAAAAAGAAGCTTAAATAAAACATGGTATTTTTTCCAAGTGTATTTACTTTTGGAAAAAAAAAAAAAATTCAAGAACTGTAGAGACAGGCCAAGTTACAACAAAATGAAGTTACACTCTACCTTAAATTCAAAGTCTTGGAATGTTAAACAGGTAATATTTTAAGTGTTTTAATTTCTTAATAATTTTGTGTGTGCTCTATATCTGAAGTGTACTTTAGTTTTATTCCAAGGCATAAAATAGACAAAAAATTGATACCATAATCTATTAACATCAAATCTATCAAAAACATTCAGAATATCACCTACACATGATGCATAAAATATGACTCTAAGTCACTAAAAGTAGACATTATATCATCACTATTTTCTATATTGCAGTAGTGTTTAGAGGTCAAAGCCACACTTTATGCTAGGCTCTGCACAAATATGACAATTTATCACGTGCATTTCAGAAACACTAAATGTCCCCAGTGAAACCCTTAGAGTTTTAGGCTTTAGAAATGAAGGATTTAATCAACAGTGGAAGGCAAAGTACAAGTGAATCTATAAAAAGCGTCCAGAAGTTAGCAAGAAGTGGCTAAGAAAGTCAATGACTTAATATGCAAAGTGAAACGTGGGTTGACTAGCAAAAAAGGAAGGCTTCATCATGGATATTGTAAAAAATTATTACTGCTAATCTACTATTTTAAAAGACATCAAAATTCTCGAAAAGAGAAGAGCTACAAGATATATTTGTCGTACTGACATACTATCCGGTTAGGAAACTTAAACAACTAAAATTATTAATTTGGAAATACTGTATTTCAAAGATAACTACAATTTCAGATGACTGTGAAACAATGTATTCAAAATTAAGTCATCTTTATTAAAGGACATAAGGAACTAACAAACTTATGGACACAAACCAAAATTCAAAAAAGAAAAGTTTTAACTTGGTATTAGTAAGAATGTTCTCTTCAAAGTTTTTTGGGATGAAGACTCAGGAACCACCAAGGTAAGTAGGTGCAGTTAAAGGCAGTCAAGGAATTTCTCATGAGAATAGTTAAGTACCTGGAGAATCTCAGCATTCCTGAATATACCTGAACTGAGCAAAAGAACAGAAGAACAAAGAAAAACAAAGTAGTGAAAAAGTATTTCTAAAAATTGAAAAGGGGAAAAAATTTCAATGAGATTTTATAATTTACTTATTTTTCCCCTTGTAAGAAGAATAGCTCTCTCTTTCCTTCTTTACCCCTATTAATAAAAAATAAATCAAAATCACACTGGAAAATCTCAAGTTATTACTGAAAACACTTGTAAACATGCATGGAATCTATTTCTAAGCACTTGGAGGAGGAAAAGGTGGTTAAGAACAGTCAGCATGAATTCACCAAGTCATGCCTGACCAACCTCATTGCCATCTATGATGAAATGACTGCTCTGTGGATGCAATGAGACTGGTGGACATGGTGTACCTTGATTTTAGCAAGGCTTTTGATACGGTCTCCCACAACAATTTCCCAGGCAAGCTAAGGAAGTATGGGTTGGATGAATGGACTGTACAGTGGATAGAAAACTGGCTGGAGCACAGGCTCAGAGAGAAGTAATCAATGGCTCGATGTCTAGTTGTCAGCCGATATCAAGTGGAGTGCCCCAGGAGTTGGTCCAGGAGCCAGTTTTGTTCAATGTCTTTATCAAGAATCTGGAAGATAGCATAGAGTGCACCCTTGGAAAGGTCACAGATGACACCAAGCTGGGGGGAGTAGTAGATACACTGGAGGGTAGGGCTAGGATTTAGAGTGACCAAAACAAATTGGAGGATTCAGCCAAAAGGAAATCTCATGAGGTTCAACAAGGACAAGTGCAAAGTCCTGTACTTAGGACAGAACAATCCCATGTACCAGTACAGGCTGGGGGCTGACTGGCTGGGCAGCAGCTTTGCACAAAAGGACCTGGGGGTTACAGTGGACAATAAGGTGAATATGAGCCAACGGTGTGCTTTTGTTGCTAAGAAGCCTAATGGCAGGGCTGCACTGGTAGGTGGGTTGCTAGTAGATCAAGGGAAGTGATTATTCCCATCTATTCAGCACTGGTGAGGCCACAGCTGGAGTACTGTGTTTAGTTTAGGGCCCCACCACTACAGAAAGTATGCCGACAAATTGGGAAAGAGTCCAGTGGAGGGCAACAAAAAAGGTGAGGGGCTAGAAGACATGACTTATGGCAAGAGGCTGAGGGAACTGGGCTTATTTGGTCTGCAGAAGAGAAGACTTAGGCGGGATTTAATAGCAGCCTTCAACTACTTGAAGAGGGGTTCGAAAGAGGACAGAGCTGGACTGTTCTCAGTGGTGGCTGATGACAAAACAAGGAGCAATGGTCTCAAATTGCATCAAGGAAAGTTTAGGTTAGATATTAGGAAGAGTTCTCTCAGTAAGAAGGTAGTAAAACACTGGAACAGGTTACCCAGAGGTGGCGGAATCTCCACCTTTGAGGTTTTCAAGACCCAGACAGACAAAGCTTTGGCTGGGATCTGGTCCTGCTTAGAGCAGGGAGTTGGACTAAATGACTTCCTGAGGTCCCTTCCAACTCTAACTTTCTATGATTCTATGTTTATTTTATGACTCGAGTCTGACAAGTGGTGTTAAGTCCTAATAACTTTAAGAAATATAGTTTAAAACAAGAATCACTTGGTTTTTTCCAGTTTCATAAAATTATTTATTTAAGAACATCTGTAGAATAATTCACAGCATTGAAGAAGTTGAACATTGATCAGCAAAAGACATCACATTATTGGTTTGTTTGACACAGATGTATGGAATCTACTCTAAAAATGCAATTTAATTGTGAATAATGGAAGCCGTTGACAGTCCACATGGAAACACTGTGTATTGGCAACAGTAATTACCCACTAGAAACCTCAAATATCTTCAGTGGGGTGGGTGAATTGCAGTATGAAAATAAACATCTTGGAGATCAAAACACAGTTATCAATCACTGATTTAGAGCTGAAAATAGAGACAATGGAGGTATTTTCAGTAGGGAACCCAGTGCTGATGATAGGCCTTGTATATTGTGTCTGAAGTTTTTGTTGTCAAATATCCAGTGCCAAAAGATATGTGACTAGACAGTGCTGGTCCTGAAGAACACTGGTAACATGGGTGGTGATAGGGTAGTACCTGACAAGTGCCAGTGAACAAATTCTTTTAGGCCTTATGCTATCCTTACTTCTAAGATGTGAAAGGACTTACAGCTTTTAGAGGCATGAAAAGGACATGGCTGCTTCTTCTTATGAGCCCAGTACTCCATTCCTCACTATCAACTAATGTTTAACATATAGAGTGGCATTTTCCAACAGAAACCTCAGTTCCATGGAATACTGTACGCAATAGAAGCACTTTGGGATGACAAACATTCAAAAGTTGTTGCGCTAGAATAAAGGAGAGATTCATTCATCTCTCCCAGGGGAGGGGGGAAAAACAAACCAAAATTTCCTAACTTTTGGGAGCTTTCTTGAAAAATGACCTTCAGATGCCACATCTTTCTGTAATGTGCCCTGTTCCCTGATGCAATAAGCATCCAATGTACCTCTTGTTTTAAATAACTGTGTTTAAAAGTTCAGACACTGCAACTGAATCTAATACTGCAAGATCATCAGCAAAGAAAAGAGAGTAGCTTCTCCACAAAAGTAAAGAAAGGAAGCGTTGCAAAAGAAAATGATGCCACTAAACCTAATCACTCATTAACCACTATGCATCCGTCTTTTTAAAGCTATTCACATATAAGAGGAAAAGACCACAGAGTGCACAAAAATACTCTGACACTGCAGGTTCTCCCTCTCAGCTAGGGGTGGTGAGAAAGAACCGAGGGCTGGTTGGAGTAAAATTGCTGTTTAATGACCTTAGCTAGAGACAAAATGACAGAGTGCAGGTATGGCTGAGTGGACATTGCTGACAAACCTCCCCCTCCTTCCCAGAAAAATCCCACAACACTCAGGTTTGAGTGCATTTGGGTGCCGGTGTCTGAACAGTAGAATTCTGTATGTATATTTGGACAAACAATTAAAAAAGAAATAGGAGTTGTGAGAAAAGTTAAGGGATAGAATTGTTGTCACTGAAAAAAGAATGACACACTGTTGGTATTCCTAGACTTGTGGGGCCTGAAAAAGTGTGACACCACACCATGCTTACGACAAGACTACGTTTTGAGACGTCTAATAGGAAAGGATCAGCGAAAACACCATTGTCATCTATGTTATTCTTATCTATACTGGTAGAGAAGACTAGATGAGTTAATCCTTGTGCAGCATAAAAATCTAATGGCAAACATACTATTTTGGCTTACAGCCATGTAAAATCAAGCCTACACGTAAAGTATTACAGCAGAAACATCAAGAAAT